AAACACTTGAATTTTCTTTTTTTAACATGTTTGGATCTTATTCAAAATAGTAAATAAAATAAATTATGGGAAATTAAATTCATGTTATGTTTACAACTTCAAGCTTTACTTTAGAGTAACCCGGAAAGAGTAAGACTCAATTAACCATCATATTCGGGTGGTTTTTTTTAATTAACAAGAACTTAGTTTCCTATGGAATTTTTTCGGAGGTGGGTATTAAATTAGTGTGGAATATCATGATAGTGAATTTTTTTTAAAAATAACATGATCTAGTTTTTATCTTTTTTTAAATTTTTGATGACAAAACTCAAACTACAGATTACAGATAAGAAAATCCAGTTACAGTAGTGTAAAATGGGAGAAAAAGAAAAAATGTCATTTTCAAAAATGAAACATTTAAATATTTTTAAACAAGTTTGTTAAAAATAGTAAAAGGCTTATTGAAAATATCAAACTCAAATATTAAGTTCGTTAAAGATGTAAAACCTGAATAAAGATATTTTTTTTTGTACTATTATGTTTAAAAAATGAGCTAATAATTTTTTTTTTCATTTCTTATCTTGTGTCTTCTTACTGAAAATTGAATATTTAAAATATCAGAGCAAACAATCGTATTATTTCGAATTTTGTTAAAAAAAAAATAAAAAAGAAGAATAAAAAGAAATATCATGAAGATAGTTCTTAAACGTTTTATAATATTAAAAACGTTAAAAATTATTTTGAACTCTTTTGAAATATTATTTATTTGAATATCCCATGGCACAACTAATAAAAAAGAAAGATTTGTTCATTTGTGAAATCTTTGGTTTCTTGAAACCCGAGCTTTCGACAAGCTTTAGAAATTAGACTTTTTAACTATTGTCACTTTTTTTTCTTCTAAAAAAGAAACTTTATAGTTTGAATATAAAAAATGCTTTCAAAAGATTTGTATGATGTTGTTAAATACGTTAACTCAGAAATAAAGATCGGACAGCCAATCCTTATTTCCAGGGAATTATATAGAGGAAACTTCAAGATTTCAAATACGAATAGGAATATCATAGGATCTGTAACGAGGCAAACTATTTCCAAGATATATAAAACAAAAACATATGTTGAGTTAAAGGATCAAAGTTGAAGAATCCAACCTCTCTCGTCTCTTCTCTTTCGTTATCTTGTGCCAACTTCCCTATTTGCCAACCTATAATTTGTCTAGAGAAAAATTTCCCTTCGCCACGAAGTCTGCTGCTATGAAAATAAGAAATAACTCATTTCAAAGAGGGGAGCTTCTTTTCCTCCTGATCTCTTTTTCTCTCGCCGACCAGAGTCAAAACCCGTATTAAATAGTGACCCAACTTGGAATAGTTAATTCTCGTAACCACAGTCACCGCCACCCCTCCAGACGAATGGCAAGGGGAGTTCTTTACATAGACAAACTATACTTTTTCTCCATCTTGTAACTTGTTTATAATTAATCTTCTTTACATCCCTCTATGTTTACATAGAGCGAGGTACTTCCTTATAGGACCACAGTACGTCTTTCTATGTTGCATTATTTGTGCTTTTTTATTTCTGTTTAGCTTTATGATAAGTTATAACTAGGGTATGAAAACGGATACTTATCGGTTATAGTGCCAATAAGTTGGATATTGATTGCTTTCTGAGAAGTTGCCAACCCAATCTTTTTAACCGATAAGCCCAAGTCTTAAATTGTATGTTCATACTGCGTTATTTGTGCTTTTTTTTAATTTTGTATAGCTTTATTATAAGTTAAAACTAGGGTATGCAAACGGATACTTATTGGCTATATTTTTAAAAAAATATTGATATTTGACAATAAACAGTGATCTTTTCTACTACATTAAATTTATATTACTTTTTCATTTTTCAATCAATACTTGCGTTGCCCAGCTTAAATTTATTAACACTGACAATACTCTCTTAATCAATAATTATCGTTGTATTATCTTTTTGATAGGTCGATTAAGATCTCAATATTATAATATTTGATACTTATAGTTAGAAGTAATGATCGCGATCATATCGTATTTGATAAGCAATGTTACGACAGAGATATTCTCGTGTTTACAGCGATGGTATTAGAGGGAAATCGGTGGTTTATGTAAACTAGAATCTGATTTTGTTTCAACAATTTGGCAAGCTTGGCATTATGGTCCCTATAAGAACAATATTAATAACCATTATATATGAAATTTTTATCTCATCTTGCCTAACGAGTCCTTTTTTTTTATTAGAATAATATTTATCTGATTACATTAAAAACTTTTAACTTATTCGACGAATTACACTGAATTACAAAATATCACTAGTTGATTAAAAATTAAATATTGCTAATTAATTCGTAACTTACAAGGGAAACTAGGGAAGTGTGACTCGCCAATTTTGAAATAAACTAGTGTGATGTATGCCTTATGAGGAATAATTTTAGGGGGCAACATTCGTTTCGGCCCATAGAAGGTTCTGGGAGAGATAAAAAATAATTCAATACATAGAAAAATCGGTATTTTATTACTTCAATGCAGACTATTAGTTATTGNTACATATTTAAATACGTATATATAAAAAAGTTAAATACTAATAAGAATACCGTCGGATTTATAACCAGGAAAACTATTTCCAAGATATATAAAACAAACACATAAGTTTTTTTAAGTTTATTTGATAACCGTCGTTGAACAGTCGACCCAATTCTATGGGTTTACGACTACTAATGTTCAATTCCGTAGCCTTGTCATTTTGAATCCTATCCAGAAGACAAAGAAACTCCTGGGTCGAATATTGGGTGAAATTTGCCTTCGTGGAGGACTTTTTGATGGACCTAAGCCGCATTTGCATTACATGGAGAGGAAGACTACGGGAACCTCCCACGGTTAGCCTGGCGGCAAGGGGACTCTAACCCATGATCCGTCTACCACTGAGGATATTTCTTGTCAGCACTGTGATCGGTGCGGAATTGGTATCGTCTGGGATTCGAACCCGATTCGCCGCATTAGAAGGCGAGAGAGTAGAAGGCGAGAGATTTAAAGAATCAAAATTGAAGAACCCAACCTCACTTGTTTCTTGTCTCTTCTCTTTCGTTATCTTGTACCATCTCCCCTATTTGTCAACCTATAATTTGTCGATAGAAAAAACTTCCCTCGCCGCGAAGTCTTAGGCCGTCTGCTTCTATGGAAACAAGAAATAACGCATTTCAAAGAGGGGGCTTCCTTTTCCTCTGATTCTCTTTCTCTCGCCAACCAAAGTAAAAACCTGTCTTGGAATAGTTAATCCTCGTAACCACAGTCACCACTCCAGACGAATGGCAAGGGGAGTTCTTTGCATCTACAAACTATAATTTTTTTCTCCATTGTTGTAACTTGTTTATAATTTATCGCCTTTATATCCCTCTTCAGTTCTATGTTTACTTTGAGGGAGGAACTTCATTATCGAACCTAAACCATAGTACGTCTTTTCATGTTGCATTATTTGTGCTTTTTAATTTTGTTTAGCTTTATGATAAGTTATAACTAGGGTATGAAAACAGATACCTATCGGTAATAGTGTCAATAAGTTGGAGACTGCTTTCTGAGAAGTTGCCAACCCAATCCTTTTAAAGTACAAGTCTTAAACTGTCTGTTCATACTGCGTTATTCATGCTTTTTTAGTTTGTTTAGCTTTATTATAAGTTAAAACTAGGGTATGCAAACGGATATTTATTGACTACATTTTAAAAAAAATATTGATATTTGACAATAAACAGTGATCTTTCCTACTGCAGTAAATTTATATTATTTTTTTCATTTTTCAATCAATACTTGCGTTGCCCAGCTAAAATTTATTAACACTGACAATACTCTCTTAATTAATAATTATCGTTGTATTATCTTTTTGATATGTCGATTAAGATCTCAATATTATAGTATTTGATACTTATAGTTAGAAGTAATGATCGCGATCATATCGTATTTGATAGGCAATGTTATGACAGAGATATTCTCGTGTTTGCAGAGTTGGTATTAGAGGGAAACCGCTGGTTTATGTATACTATAATTGGACTTTGTTTCAACCATTTGGCGAGCTTGGCATTATGGTGCAATATTAAAAGCCTTTGTGTACGATATTTTTATTTCACCTTGCCTGATGAGTCCTTTTTCTTATTAGAATAATATTTATCTGATTATATTAAAAACTTTTAACTTTTTCAACGAATTACTCTGTATTACAAAGTATCTCTAGTTGATTAAAAATTAAATATTGCTAATTAATTCGTAACTTAGTTGTAATTATTATTGGAATAAATTTTAATAACTTTTCTAATGAAAGAGATGGTTTAATAATGATACAAATTGTAAAGTGGGACTGTTTTCGGCTATGTGTGCAGTCTCAGAGCACCTAAATTAATCTTTTTGGCAAAATCTTATTTTGGAAAATATTCTTAATTGTTTCAGAGAAGAAATAATTTTTTTAAAAAATCAAATTCAAGCTCGTGAATTCAAGTTCGAGCTACAAACCGCGTATAATAAAAATATAAATACAGTTTATATGTCACTCTCTTATATTACAGGGATTCGTCTATTATAACGGACGCTATATAAAATCCTGTTTGCTTTTCAAATAATAATTTTTTTTTTTTTTTTTTTTTTTTTTTTTTTTTTTTTTTTTTTTTTTTTTTTTTTTTTTTTTTTGCATTCACTATTTTTTTTTTTGTTGTCAAATGTGAGGTTGAAAATGTGATGTTCATTGCTATAACGGCGCGTGTGATTGATTGACATAAATAGCATCCCTGAATTAGCATATTATTTTTAATGCATTTTACTCCTCTTAAGTATTATTATAAAGAGCATATTCATGTAGAAGAAAAAATTGCGTTATTATCTTTTTTTCTTCTTTTAGTTATCAAATAATTATTAAAACAAAGAATTTTCTTTGTTAAAATCGGTGATGTATTAGCAATATATTAAAAAATATTTAAAAAAAACTTTTGTTTCTATATTTTACAGTTTTATTTCGTACGTACTTACCTCCTTGTGGGAAAAACTGACCAAAAATATCTTTGAAAGTTTCCTCTGTTACAACTCCTGAAGGACATTCCTACATTAGAATAAAAGGAAATCAAAATTTAGTTTTATTGATTCAAAATACGAGTTTTAAAGTTAAAAAAAAATCATCAATTAAGAACATGAAAAAACACATTGATTTTAAAATTATAAAAATAGTTTCAATAGAGGCAGGTGTGATGCTTATTATCTCATAGGAAAGTAGCTTGTTTTCCATGCAAAGAAAAAAACATCAAATTTCAATATTTGTTATTCAAAATTATATCGTTAAAAAATATCACTAATTACGGCACAAGGAAAAGATACTATATTAATTTTAAAATTATAAAAATACTCTCAATAATGAAAAGAAATAATTATTGAGAATAATTACTGTTAAAAGAATAATTACTGTTAAAGAATAATTACTGGTTAACATATTGGATAACATTGGATAAATAATTGCTGAAATATATTTGATTCCAACAAATATGATTATATTAGTCTCAAACCTTTATTTTTTACAAAAGCAAAAAACTATTCAAACTGAAGAACTACATAAATAAGAACTACGCTGCAAGTTAACTTATTCATAAATAGACATATTAACAGTAAAGTAATTTCAAACATAAACATAAATTTTCAACTCATAAACATAGTGACACCAAGACGAAGTGAAAAAAAAGGCAACTTTATTTAGTAAAATGCTGTTTTAGAAAATTAATCATATAAAATATGATATACATTTGAATTTAATTTACAGTAAAAAATACTGCGATTCGTTAGAAATTTCAATTTAAATATTGCATTCTTTATTTTTTATATTTTCGATATGTACCCAATACACATAATTTTAATCTTTCAAATCAACGAGCAGTTCATTTCAAATTAACAAATGAACTTCTATTAAGCATTACATTTTCGAAACTTCTGCCTTAAAGTATATTTATGTAAGAACTGTATTTGTAACAAAACAATACTCTCTTATTATTCATTAACTTTGCAGTAATTTCATACTTTAATTTATGCAAAAGTTGTTCGCACAAAACTTTTAGAGTTCATTAAATATTATGTTAATTCTTGAGTTGGGATAAAATATTTCTCCTCCAATGTGGCGGTAAAATGTAAGATACAAAAATGTTCCATAAAGAAGAAAAACGAAACAAAATCTAAATATATACTGAAACGAAATATATTGAAAGTGAGATCGTACCCTCTTTTTTATAAAAAAAAATTGCAAAATTTTATTTTTGTACTACAAATGAGCTTTCATTTTTATCAGAATCTTTTCTTCAGTGTAGCCTTTGTGAAAAATTGATTTATAGTAGCTAGATAAAATACGGATCTATATTACAATGTAATTTTATATTCTTCTTATTATTATTTTTCGATTGTGTCGTTGCACACTTATGAATGTTGAATGTTGAATGTTGAAAATAAAACAAAGAAAAATTATAGACATATGAAAAAAAGGTATTGATACAATATGAGAAAGCACTCTGTTTTGCGGATATAATCGTGTGGGCTGAAGAAAAGATTATATCTTTTTTTTCCCGGCTTTTTTTCCGGTTTTTTAATTAACATTTCATTTTTTTTTTTNTATGAATATATATATATATATATATATATATATTAAGAGAGTACTGACGATACTATACTAAGACGATATATTACTAAGAAGATTACTGACAATTTATAGTTAAAGAAGAACAATTTTCATTCGATGGAGATGTAAGCTGAGGGGGTGATCGATCGACTGTCGTTTCCGACGATCACAGAGAAGCAGACACGTATCCATAATGTGTCAATACAACGTGTGGCGTGTCTTTAAGTAAACAACATTTTACTATCTATATTTTGTACGATATTGTTGTAAATTTTATATGTAATGATATATTTTGAGTTTTAGAACTAATATATCGACACACTTTTTTTTGGATGGATAATTGACTATGAAATATGTTTTAATGTGTATTAAAATGCAAGATGATCCGTTCACTAAAAATTGGCTGATTTAAACTTCATGTTTTAATATGCGATTTGCATGAGCTAACAATGAACGATTCGGCTTTATCAAGAGAAGGCCAAAATTGCAGCAACTCACATCACCTCATTTTCTTCAATTTTATACAGTCCCTGACCAAATTATTAGACGCACACTAAAACATTAATTAGAAGGTGATACTATACAGCTTTGTTGCTTTTATTCCGGTTTGCACTTGTTTATGTTCGTGTATCAATGGGTTAACATTGCAATGCAATACGGTAAAAATAAATGCAAATAGGTCTATAGAAAATCTATAGAAAATCTATAAGTCTATAGAAAATCTCCTGAATAAAAAGCCATTACATGTATGTATAAATATAAAAGTATTTCATATAAAATCGTGCAAAAAATGTCATTATTAAAAAACTACAGTGCGTCTAATCATTTGGTCTCATTATTATAATATGCTACTATAATGCTTGATATGATAAATATTCTATATTTATATAATATATCATTTAATTTATTCAATCTAATTTAAACTCAGTGGCGCGACAGCCCATATAGGGCCAAGGCCTACTGTGCCCATCTCAGTTTTCTTGACCTTGGGCTCTGGGGTGCAGGAGCAGATGTTTCGGTCAGGTGATCAACCGAACGCGAAACCCCCAGTGTTTAGTTCCCAAGCATGCTTGGTACTCATTTATCGACCCACTTAAGGGATGAAAGGCTGAGTCAACCTTTGCCCGTCCCGAGGATCGAACCCAGGACCTGTGGCACGCGAAGCGCTACCACTCAGCCACCGGGCGTCAATTTATCCAATCGTCGAATTCATACTATCAATCGTCTCATTTAACCCATTGATATACGAACGTAAACAAGTGCAAACTGGTTTCAGTCGCGTAAAAACAATATGGATGTATAGTATTACCTGATAGTCAAGATTTTACATAGAATCTTCATCACATATTGCGCAAAATATAATCACAATAACACATAATTAATAATAGGTAATCGCTCCCGAAAAATAAGGTTTGATTCGAAAAAAATTCTTTTCTTCTGATGTATAGCTTTGCAGAAATATTTCTAACAATACAGTCTCAAAAAATAAATAAAACTATCCAAATTATCTGTCACTTATGTTGAATAGGAGACATATTACATTCAGGCCCAATGAGAACTAAATGAAAGAAAACAAATAACAATACATATTGAATTAGTGGGGTAAATATTGTAAATTACCCTGATTGTAAAATTCGATTCTGCAAAATTTCCTTTCGATTTCAAAGAAATTTTTTCTCATAATAGGGGTAAAAGATTTGTTTAGATCTTGTTTAAAGATCCATTTTTAAATTTTTTACAGTCATACTAACTATTGGTATTAAATAAAAATATATGTACTACAACATATTTCTTTAAAGCAATAAATTAAATAACACAACTACTGACGTGCATTGATAGTTAGGAATATTAAGAAAAGGTGATTTACCTGTTTGAACCCTTGATAGATGAGCCTAATCTCTTTTCTAGTAAATTTGGTGGTCTTACAAAGAGCATCTAGCCTCTCAGGTTTGTACCTCGTCACAAACAATTCCACCTCATCAAATTCATTATCTGAAGTGAAATGAAGGAGAATCATAAAACTGGAACATTTATAAACATTCATAAAAATTTACAATAATGCACATTGGCTAAGGAATTAGAAACCTTAAGCAAATATGTTATTGGATCTAAGTTATGCACTGATAACAATCTGTATTTTTGATGGAATCTATTCGTCATACTTTTGTGGTTCATTTGTGCTCAGAGAATATCGTACCGAGCACAGGGGTTCGTGTCCATTGGAGATGAACAATACAGTCCTTGAGACTCCGACAATTTATTAGTAGAATCTTTCAGAAAACATGTAGTGAATCAACAGCTACAAAAATACAATTCCTTTACCTTTCAAATACCTTTTGATAGATGAAGGTTGACAGGGTCGATGATAACACTCCCCACATTGATGACCTTCGGAAGTGATGTGAACACGCCTGCCTTGGCAGAAACGCCCACTACGATTTGAACACGCTTACTTCGATGGATCGTCCACATTGAACAGTTGACTTGCTACTTCTGACTGCGGCATTGTCTTTCCTCACGCTGTTGCTTCTCAGTCTCGATCACACACAACGTATACACTCGACTGTTAAAGTAAACACAGAAGCGACCACGACCGTTAACTTTTTACAGGTCTCACTATCAGCACTCAAAAAGTCCGGTGATCTTAATACAGCTCTCCCGGTTTCTCACAAAACAGCAATGAATCAACTAGTGGTATCCCATTCATCGAATTCTATCACAGATAAAATTCTGGTGGGGGAGTACTGTTCTGTTGAGGAACCTTTTCATAGATGAATGTTGACATTGTCGATAACTACTCTCCCCACAAATACAGCAATTTTCAGTACTCATTTACAGCACGAATAACCGGCCAATACACAACAGGCTTTGAAACCTCAGTCGATTCACAAGCAAGGCAGAACATTATTGACGTCGCAAGCAGACTAATGTTCTCTCCTATAATTCTAAGAGCCACAATCCTATTCATATAGGATTGGCGACGAAGCCCCGGAACTTTCGACATGATTCTGGACGATTCTCGCCTACATATATTCTATAAATATTGGTCCTATCGCTTCGAAGCTTATATTTTCATAAAGATATCATTTTGTCTAGTAAATGGTCGCCAAGTATTGCGAAGTCGCTAAAATTGATGCCAAGTCGGCAATAAAGTCGCCAAACCAAGCATTCCATAAGAAATGCATTAGGCTTTATTTTTTCTCTAAATTACGTTTGAATTCCGCAACTTCCGAGTAAATTTTCTAATGAATTGCTTAATTAGAATCCGTCTGAGAAATTTAGCCTCGTAATAAAAGAATATTTACAAAATTGTGCATATATTTACACCTACTCAACAATACTCTGCATGGGATACTAAGTCATCTAGATCCTACAAATTAGATTGCTGTCGGTTGTGATTTTCCAACGTGTCCAAATGTTCGAGAGCTGTTGGAAATCAGATTGAAGTTGATTAAAGGATTGTTATCAAAAACCCGGGTAAAACTATTCAAATGTAGGAAACCGTTTTTATTTCAAATTTAATGACCTTAGATATGCTTCGATTCGCTATCCAATTATTTTTATTTTTTATAGTTTTTATTTTTTATTTTTTTTTAATAAACACAATTTCCATCAATCAATCCGTCTTCAAAAGTATTCATTAATTTCAGAAGTAATAGAATCTAATTTAAATATGACCGTTATAATAAACTCTTTATCTATTACAAATTTAAAAAAAATATTTAGTCCTATTTGGGATTTCGGGAATCGAGATTAATGTGTGTTATAAAAGCGGAAAAGTAAATGTTTTTTGATTTAATAGAAAAGTAGTCTCAAAGTTATCTTTTCTCTCCTTAAAGGGTTTACAGGGTTTTCCCTAGCAAAATTTCCGATTTTTTGAAGAAGAAAAAAATTATTTTATGATCCGTTTTATTCTGGACAATTGAATCCCAAGCGAAAGATAATACTCAAAAAAATATGTAAGTCACAGGAAAAATACTAAAACCTATTCCCTGAAAGCAGGAAATAACACAAAATGTTTTTAAGCAGGAATTGTCTGCAAACTCATATTTTTCAAAGTCTTTAAACGTGTTTTATTATTTCAAACATTTTCACTTCAATATTTCTAGACATATCTATATTTTTTGTTTGGTCGAATTATTTATTTTTTTTAGAAAATCCTAAACATTAATTTTTTTTAATTTTTTGAACTAGTATTTTTACTAAAAGGACATATTTGACTGCTTATAAAATATAATTTCAAGTCATTAACATAATTTGTGTGACTTTCATCGAGTGTACGAAACTTTATAATATCTCCTTTTTTCTCTTAAAATTCTATCTTTATCCTTATTATTTTTAATAAAATACCCTCAGTGGTAAACGGATCATGGGTTAGAGTCGCCTGGCCGTCAGGCTAACCGTGGGAAGTACTCGTGATCTTCCTCTCCATGTAACGCAAATGCGGGTTAGTTCCCTCAAAAAAATCCTCCACGAAGTCAAATTTCTCTCAATACTTGATTCAGGAGTAATTCAAGTGAGAAATAAAATAAAATTAATTATGATTGGACAAATTAGACGATATATTATATAATTATAAAATATTTATTATATCAGGTATTATATTGGCATATTATAATAATTAGAGCAAATGATTAGACGTACGGTAGTTTCTTCATAATTACATGTTTTGTGAGAGTTCATACGCAATACTTTTATATTTAAACACACATGTAATGGATTTTTATTCAGGAGATTTTTTATATTCTTCCTATTTGTAGTTATTTTTAATGTATTGCATTACAATGATAACCCATTGATACACGAACGTAAACAAGTGCAAACCGGTTTCCGAAGCGGGAAAACAATAAAGCTGTATAGAGTATCACCTGATAATTAAGATTTTGGGCAGAATCTTATGGCGCGTCTAATAATTAGGATAGGGATTGTATAACTCTAATTATCTGGTTACAAATTCTTAAGTATTGAAACTTAAAGATAACTTAAATAAAAGTTAAAGATAACTTTTTTTTTCAACATAGGTGCCATAGTTTTTTTTAAATGTCTTAAGGATCTCATGAACCCCATTGAAATAATAATTTACAGGTGTTTGCTTCTTTCAGCATAAGGTTATGATCAACATAATGATCAAAAAAGATCCAAATGTAACACATTACTTGGTGGTATAAATTTCATTAGCTTCAAAAATATGACGAAACTAAACTCCCATTCCGTGATATAAAACTGAAATGTGAAGTTTCCAAAGTGAAAACATAATTAAAACTGGAAAAAACGCAGAAGATTTTCGGGTATCAAGATGAACTGGTGTGGCAGGGGTGGTTAGAATTTTAGCATCATTGAAATTAAATTTGTCCCCCAGATTCAAAAAATGTGTAGCAATAGATTTATCGTATTCTTGAAAAGGGATTTATCTACCGTGTTCCTTCAGTCTAAATGAGTCTTTTGAGCTCGCCAAACGTTTGCTTCAAAAGTTGCCATTCTCAGAGCTCGCTAGACGTTAATGACTCGTGACGTGAATGTTGACGTGAATGTCGACTTTTGTTTACATTTTCATTTTTTGAAGATAATGAAATTTTTATCTTGCAGCTTCAGTTTCTGGGGATTTTTCATTTAGTGACACAGTATGTTAAATTAAACTACTTAACGCGATATTCAAATTAGTTTTACGTAAGATAGTGTTTGTGGCTCTCAGATTGAAAAAAAAGAAATTCTAATTTATAATTCGTCACATTTTTCTAAAAAATTCAAATAAGTACTTACTTATTCATTAATTTATTTTATTTCGTTTCATTTATTTATTTATTTTTTTGATTGCTGAAAAGCATATTTTAGGATGTTAAACACTTCCATCCAGGAAGAAAAAAAAGAGACAATCAATAATGTTATATTTCATGATGTTTCTAACTTAAAATTTCCACTATACTATGATGAACATTTTTAACCCTCCAACGAGAACAAACCATCAAATAAAGTTGATATTCATTTCAAATACAGTACACACTCTCGATTATCCGTGCGCGGATTATCCGGTTTGCGGATTATCCGTGCTCATTCCGGAGTTACACAAAAAATATAAAGAGAAAAATTTTCAAGATTAAAAAAATTTGATTCGTGAAGTTATAACACTATCAAATTTTTGGAAGCAATATTCGTTATTGGATTGCAGTATATGGAATATCAGCAGCATGGTCAAAGGTAAAATCTTTTACGTTATCACGATCTTGAAGAAAGATCATACCGCTTGATGAACAATCCTCTTCAGATGTTCAAGAAAAATATAACAGTATTCTTGAACAAGCCAAAAGAAATCTTATGTTTCGAAATTCTTGATGAAGAAAATTTAGTAGATTGGTTTCAAATTGATGCATGTGAGCCTGGCTTCCAGTATTTGACTGATGATGACATCGTTATGTTGTTGAATCAAATAGTGGTGATAGTAACTGATGCAGAAGGTGTAGTAAATGAATGAAATACAATTTCTCATTCTGCTGCTCTGTGGAAACTTTATTAGATTATATGGGAGGATTTGATTACAGTGACATTACTGCGGTTCGTAAAATTTGTGTTTCGATGTGTGGCGAAGACGCATTACGCATTTTTTAATAAGGAAAATTCCTAGTTTGATGTTATGCATGCAAATGTCAGTAATTTTTATTATTTTTTTTACTGATATTGAATAAAAGGAGTTTTCGGATTATCCGCGTTTTTCGATTGTCCATGCGACCTGTCCCGGTGATTATCCCGGATAATCGGGAATGCACTGTAGTTATTATGGATCGAATAAAATGAGTTCTTTATAAATCAGTTCGAAAACTTGCATGGGATGATGGTTCTGGCAACAGATTCCTAAGGTATTATTACGGAAGGTCACGCTGATACAACATGAACAAACCATCATGATGGTTCCAACAGGATCCAACCATCATGAGAGTTATTCATGATGGTTCCAACTATTGATTTCCAAGTTGATATGAAAGAAATTTTTCATAGTCTGACACGAAACATAGTCTGACGAACATAGTCTCAACGTCGACCTACGTCCACTCGACTGCTAATAGCAACACAGGAAAAATCACGGTTCTGAACTTAATACAGCTCTCACGATCAGCACTCAAAAGTGCGGTGATCTTAATACAGCTCTCACGGCTTCTTAGAAAATAGCAATGAATCGTGGTATTTGTTCATCGAAGTCTATCGCATATATAATTCTGGAATGGGAGTACTGTAGTGTATCTACCACTACAAAAATATACTTCCAATTCGCTAGTATATTAACTATCGATTCCATGTTGGGGTACCTCTTCACAGATGAAGGTTGACTTTGTCGATTACTCACTTCCCACAGACGTATACGGCATTTAAATTTTGTTCAAGCCTAAAGAGTAACGCTGTCTTTTTTTTTTTTAATTCGATTGCAGCTTAGATAAGTGTAACTCCGTTTACATTAAGGTTTAGGTGCTCTTACCGAAACATCACTTGAAATCAAATCGTTCTTTTGTGGTTACT